GATGGAGGCACAAGCAGAGGACCTGCAATTATTAACATCTGTTAGAAAATGAAAAATAGGTCAAGAAAACTTGTAACATTTCACTTTGTAGACTTTTTTATTTTAAATAATGAACACATAATAAGGCCCACAAAAAATTCTACTGGATGGACTAAATGGTAGGTTTAAATGTTTATTCCAGTAATACAACCATCTGAAGCAGACAGGCTACTGCTAAGATATGCTCTTCTTTTTTATGCTCATTTGCCAAAAAATTCTAAGGCTGCAGCCACCTCTGCAGTAGCGTGACTCTGCTGCCTCAGCTCCCCATCACTGTTATGTGTCACTTGCTCTTGTTGCTCAACATTTTGTTTTCATTATTCCTGAGTCCTTCCCCTAGCAATGCGAGTTTTGAATCTCTAGATTGAGCTTCTTTGTTCATTTCCTTAGAACTCTCAAGTCTCATCTAAACATAAGCCACGAAGTTGTTCTTGGCAGCACTAACATGTATTTGTTCTAATTTGTTGTGGAAAAGAAAAATGATCTTCTCTGTTTCTTGTTAATTGAATTTACTGAATCCTATGATAATCAATCAAATTACAATTTTACATTCTGGTCCTTCAGAAGATGACATAATGAAGATCTATAGTTACCTTTTCTTTTCTTTCAACCGTGGCCAAAATTAAATTTCTTACCAGTCAATAGCTATAAAAGTTGTGGTAGGTACATAGTAACCCATGTGTTTTTATCTCTTTATACCACCTCTTGGGTACCTCATATACCATAAAAATAGCATCATATTTGAAAGGATTGCCATCCCTTCTGGCAATTTCTGTAGGGAGAGTAGGACTAAATAAGTAGGAAAATTCTGAACAGTTAAATTACAGTAAATACAAGTTTAAACTCTGAAGCTGTTAAAATCTTACTCACTGAAGCATTACATTACACTGAAGGTTCAGTCAGCCATTTCACTCTTAGAAGAGAAACAGCTCCACAAAAAAACCACAGGAATGCAACTAGCTGCAAACAGCAGCCACGGAAAATGTTCATCTAAGTTCAAAGCTTCCTAACCACAAATTTTTAAATATAATTCAAGACCAAAAACCTTTCTCCCCCAGCACATGGGTTTTGAATATCATAAACAAAAACTATAATGATTCATAAGACATGAGAACATATCAACTATAGAATTCCTTTCTAAGCTCCCACAGTGTTTTCCAAAGGGCCTATAGCATTACATTCTGGTTTAGCAGAGGAAATAAGGAGAAATAAGGAGACATCAAATACAGTAGCCTATTACTGTTTTGGTAAAACATTGCATTATACTTGAAAGCTTTAACTATCCTGCATTTTAATCTTTGTGTATTTCCTCAAGTTTATGTGAATCAGTTTTGGTTTGTATGCTATTTTCTAATATTGTTTGTAAACATAAAGATGAAAAACATTTTATGGGAACAGCCTCCTGTAAAGTACTTACTACAGAAACCTTCAAAAATTAAAGGAAAAAAGCATGCCTTATTTGATTTTAGTGAAACTTACTCCCACCTCAAGTGTCTCACTTGAACTTTTTAGACTTTCTAAAGAGAAAAAAAGTTTCACAGCCTTTGGTCATTTATTAAGATTCTTATTATCAAATTCTAATGTTAGAGGCACCAGTAGAGACGAATGTCAGGCTTCAAAGAAATTAAAGCCATTAGATAAAGCAGAACGTTGATAAGTTAGTGATTTGGAGGATTGTTTTTAAGGTATCATTTCTACTTTCCTCGGGAATTAACCTTACTGAAACTGGCACATTTCCAATAAATAGAAACATCAAAATGCAATTTGGACAAGCTACATACTATCTCATTGAATTCTCTCTGCAGGTCAGATTAAATTTTCTCTCATCTTCTGCTTATGTGCTATATACAGTTTTTAAGTATCAATAACAGCTGTGGTAGCCCTTCCTCTTTCCCTGAGCAGTTCTCTCAAAAATAAGGAGAGTGTTTCCATTTTGTGAATTACTTGTGAGATTTTTAAAATAGATTATGTGCTGCACTAATTTGCTAGGTAAGTCACAGAATCGTAGAATGGCTCAGGCTGGGTGCTATTTAATTTATTCTTGCAATTAAAAGTAAAGAAAAGCATGAGTGTACTATAATGAATCCAGAAATAAAGCAACACAACATTAGGACAGTAATTTTAATGTCCTTGATGCTAAAAAGTCATAAATAAACCACATAGGACAAGATAATAGAAAGATCATAAATACCTGTTATTTTAATGTTACATGGAAGACCAAATGGATACTTTCCCACAACTCCCACTTCACCATTCCAATTGAATTCACATCCCAGATCAAATGGCTGCTCCATGAACTAAAATAATGCAGAACAATTCAGCTTCATTGATGCATATTTACTTGCTTTTTTGTTTCTCCAAAGTGCTCCATTACTACTGCATTCTTTATCTTGGTAGACACTGCTCAAAGTCTTAATTTGAATTAAGATCCGACTTTTTTATTGGAAGAAGGTAAACTTAAAAGGTTCACTGTAGTTCAGGTTCAGATCAAACAAACTTCCATGCCCATCATTTTCTAACTGTAACATTTTCTTTTGTAACTACAGACTGTGCACAAAAAGCAGCACGCTCTGGTCCAGCATGTGTTGAAATGCCTGTCCAGCCCTGTTTCTCATGTTTTGCCACCTGTGACTGGCATAGCTAGAATTTTCTGATAGTGCATCTATTCATATCTTCAGGCTGTAAATAGACATAGGCAAAGATTCTATCTTTCAACACAGTCCCCATTTACCTATGTGATGTTACAAGTACATTAATGATTTGTTGCCACAAAATAGCATGGACTATATGAAAAATTTCCCGTTACCTGTTCAGAGATAGCCTGGAAGTTATAGAGCCTGACCAAACCCATGCTATACATTACAATCAGGATTCCGTTAGAAATAGCAACGTCTGTTACATTGTTACCAAATACCTGTAAAAAGAAAAATATTCTATTAAAGAAGAAATAATTGAGAGAATGAAAAATCCAAAATTAAGGATATAATCTCAGTAACTAGATTCCTTTTCCTATAACCAAAGTTTTAGTTTAAGAAGGTTTCTGTACCTCATCTGTTCTGCTAAGTTTTTGTAATACTTTGCATTGCAGTAACATCTGTGTCAGGTAAGTCATATTCTACAAGAACATTTATTCCCTAATTAATTCTGAGTATGTCTTCATATCACGTTACCCAGTTATTACAAGACATGAATAGATTGTATTGCCCAGCATCCCACAGGAAGTCAATAGGAAAGCTAACAGTTCAATATAAAAGTACTGATTGCTGAACCTCTCCATCATCAGGGTAAAATACTAGTCTAATCATGCCTCTGTGCCTGTACAGCTGTACTAAAACTAAACTATCCAGCTGTCAAGAGTACAGATCTTCTCCAAATCCAAATTAGACACATACATGAAAAGCTGATTACCCCGTTAGAGATTATGCAGTATTCATTTGTGCTACTCTTTAGAACATCTCCACTGAAAAAAAAAACAACACAAAAACAAGGAACAAACTCTTTAATTCTTAACAAACAAATTCTTAGTATTTAATGACAACATGGGAAGTTGGTAATCTTTTTATACTGAAATGTTTGGAAGACCAGAGTTTTCTTTTTTTTTAAATTCAGAATAGCTGTACAAAGAAACAAGTAAAACAGGCTTAAAATCAATTAAAGAAAAGAAACCCAAAGGCTGGAATACTCCTAATTCTTACCCATATCTTTCAGACTTCATTGTGGTGCACCATCTCAGTAAAACTGCTGCATTACATGCATTCTGTAATATCAAGAGTAACTAATCCTAACTGTAATGTAACAGTTACACCCTACCTATCCCTATCAGGCTTAGCATTGCATTCACTAGTTATTTCCTTGGATGAACATATTCTCAAATTCCAAATTCTACCCTGACCTTAATCCTAGTAGTAACAGTTACTCTGATAAACAGTACAGGCCTAATTGAAGAAGTTTTTTTGTTTTTGTCTTGGAAGGGACCTCAAGGATCATGAAACTCCAACCCCCCTGCCACATGCAGGGCCACCAACCTTCTCATTTAATGCTAGACCAGGCTGCCCAGGGCCCCATCCAATCTGGCCTTGAACACTTCCAGGGACGGGGCATCCACAACCTCTCTGGGCAGCCTGTTCCAGCACCTCACCACTCTCTCTGTAAAAAGAATACCCTTGATACTGGTAAAATTTGTGCTTTCCAGTCATAAATGCTAATTTTAAACAGAACAGTGCCCCTAAACTTTCACAGGTCCAAATAAAAAATGGTTAAACCTCCTCTTCCACATCCCAGCCTTAGCCAAACCCAGCATGAGCTAAAACCCACTGGTAACTCTGGACCCCAAATGAGACTGTAGCTCACGGAACTTTGAAGACAGATCCTGCACATTCATACTGTTCCACTTGTAAGATTTATCTAGAACACCTATGACTTAAAGTATGTTTTTAACCAGAACACCAGAATTTCCATCAGCTTGACCATCTAAGTGTATGCTTATGTAGAAGGTCACAAACCAACCTCAGGAAGGTTGTTTCCTCTTGTCTGATAAAGACATATATTTATACTGCACCATTTGGTATCTATGATAATACAAATTTGAGTCATTTGTAACTGTGTATAGGATCAATAGACTATTACTAAAAATGGGTCAGAAGCGTATCTACGTATGAAGAGGTGAAAAGAATACTACACTCTACACTTCTTTAGACTTTAATTACAGCAGCTGTAAGAACTGAAGTTCAACACATCAAGGAGTAACCCAGCAACAATTCATTAGCATTGTCTCTTCTGTAATTAAGATTCTTCCCCCAGTGCTTCCAACTGCCAGACACTAAAAGAACATCATCGCTCATTAAAAAAAGTTGTGTCCTGAAACATTAAGTATGACTTCTGAAATCGTGGGACAGTTGCCTAAATCATGTCTCTCATACAGCTACAGTGCAGATTAAACCTACCTTTTTGTTTATTTCTAGCATTCCAATAAATGACAGAGGCAAAACTTGGAAGACAGCAAGATGGAACAGTACAGACTGTTGGATACCTGCCTAGGAAAGAAAAAGCATTGAACACACATTATATTTGAGGTATTTACTGGCATTAGGATGTCTTTATATTTTACCACAGCAACAAAGTATAATGTCTCCATATCTGTCCTTGTAAATTTGTGACTGGTCTTGTAAAAATTAAAGAACAGTTTTTCAACAAACTTACCTGCCGTGCTGCTGCAGGGAGTTTATTCTGAGCTGACTTCACAACCATTACTTCTTGAGGAGTATCCCAACTTAGGTACCTATTTGTGATAAGGAAGACCTATCTTAATCACTGTAAAATCATTTAATAATAAATACACTATTTCATGCAAAATGTAACCTATTGTAATTAGGTGGATCCCTGCGTGCAGGCAAACTGCTCAGTATCTGACTGGAGAAAGGCATCTGAACTGTTTGTTCTTTTCAATAATGCAAAATCCACTGGACTAGATGCCAAGAACAGCTTATTCCTTATACAGTTGTGTGAAAACTCTGAAATTATGAACGTTCACTGTCTTATTTTTATTCCTTCTCTTCACAAGTCACTGCTTTCTTATTCTCCAGTCCAAAGAAGACTTCCAGGAACTCAAAAAACCATGCACCTTGACAGAAGCAGTAACTGCTGTTCTGTGGATAAAGTGGATAGGATACCCTATGGAGAAGAATGTTCGTAAGTTGAAAACTGCTCACTTCAACCTTTAAACATATTTTTCTTATGTTTTATGAAGTTTGCTTTGCAGTTCTTAGAAGTTTGCTGCTGGTATGTTGCTATTGCACTCTCAAGGCTATAAAATCATCAGAGAAAAGTCAACGGTAGTCTCTTTGTTGGAATTTTGTGTGTGTGTGTGTGTGTGTGGCTTTTGTGTAACTTGATACCAAATTTGAGACTGTAATATTTAATTTGCTGAAGTGATTCTAAAGAAAACAGAGAGCAGGAGAAATACTCCAGGAAAACTGCTAGACAAACAAACCTGTGTATGATTGTGTTCCTAAGGTTTTGTGAGCTGTCTTTCACTCTAAGACATTCAAAAACTATGCATCCTCTGATCTGCAGGGAGCATTTTAAGTTAATCTATTTACATCACATTCAATCACCAGCAGCAATGAAAAATCTGGGAAAACATGGTAAAGTCTGATGAGGAACTTGGGGCTTTGCTCTTTCCCCCTTCTCTGTATTTGCAGCAAATTCCCTCCAATTAAAAAATATTTTTTATAGTCCTTTGGCTAGTTATTATAGAGGTTACCCTCCCAAAGGAATCATCAAAACAAGATTTTCTGAATGCACAGAAATTGGACAGCTTACTATAGGTGCAAGATAAACACGATTCCTCTTCTCCAGTTTAATACTAATGACTGTTAGCTATATATACCCTAGCCAATGTTTAATACCTGAATTTGCAGCAGGAACCAGCAAGGTATACTTTTTCCAGTATTTCCCCACAATCAGCAGAGAGACGTAGAAGCCAGTTCTGCACTGTTAAGACTATAAGGGAAGGTTTATAGTCTGATGGATTTGGTAGCATTTCCCCCTGTGTAACAAAAAGGTTATCATAAAGAAGTCTGTACCAGGATATTACATAATAACAAGACAGAAATAAATATACATTCCTCAAAAACTAAAGGTGGAAAGCTTCCTGATAATCACATCAGAATCTCTTAAGTTCATGTCTGTGCTCAATAATCAGCTGTTACACAATTAATTTGATGCCACACTTCTTGCAATGTAATTACTTTTTTCTAGAAAATACACTTTTTATGACTTCCTTGCATTACATAAATGAAGTATAACTGCTTATCAATACAGCTGATATCAAATCTTCATAAGAACATTTTATAAGTATTGCAGAAAAAAATTGCTGAGTGGTAACTCAACATTAACTGCTTACTTTTGGTGCTTCAAATATGCAAATAATATTCCTAGGACAGTGCACAAGTGAAAAAATCCTCAAGAAGGGGAAATGTTCTCTACAAATACTCCAAGGAGACTAAGCTCTTACAGCTTAGAACCGAGACAAATCAGTACACATATGAGCACCCATAAAGACTGTGAAACAGGCAAATTATATTAGAACTGTTAGTTGCTTCAGAAAAAGTAACACAAAAACGTAACCCAGAAAGACAAAGGATGAGAAGTCTAACAGTGTGGCATCAAATGTGTCAAGATTTTACAGCTATGGAAAAGTTTATCAGTTTGAAGTCAAATGGAAAATCCATTTGTAACAATAATGAACAGTTTCAATTTTGAACTAAAAGATATTCAAATTGCATGATATTACTATACCATAGGCACTAAGAAGAACAATAAGAAATACTGATTGCATTTTTCATTTCTCTTTCGTCGTATGTTCCAGACTACAAAATATTATAGTTTAAAATTCCACCAGGTGAATCAGACATTTCAAACCAAACAAAATAACCCATGGCTGAAGAAATACTTTTCTTTACGGTGCTCAATGAAAAATGGCTAATTGAATTGACTAACTTCTCTTAAATTTTACCTGTTTTGTGAGAAAACAGAACAAGCTTCAGTCTAAATACTGCAGCAAGACTATCTATGTATGAGTATCTATGAATGTAAGGGAAGAAAGGAGGAAAATTAATTAAAATAATTAACTAGAAAGAGGAGAATAGCTTGTGGACAGAGTTACTTCAATAGGCCTTTTTATATATAAAATGTTAACATCTGGTAAAAAAACCAAACGAAACTCCCATTTGCTGCCCTTGATAACTCAAAAATAAACAAACAAAACAGAATTTATGTTGTAAGGAATTAGAATGGAGTTGCATAAGCATAAAGGCACAATTTTTAAAATCTTCCACAGACATTCATGAAAAAGCACTTAAATGCACTGTTAAAAAATTCAGACTATACCCCTAAGCATACATTCTGTCAGAATAAGCATATGATGCAAACCTTGAATGACTTTGCTCACAAAAAGTGTTGACAGTTAACAGGGAAAGAATGCTCTATTCTAAATCTGTTCCTCTGAAAGATATTAAATTTGTTTTTGCAAAACAATGCTCTAGTAAAAAAGTATTCTTACCAGTGGGCATTCCAATAATAAAGCATCTTCTATTTTTTCTGACTTAGAACACTTTGGCTTTTGATAAAGTATTCTTGGCTCTTGTGCAATGCTGGAGGAAAATGATTGCTAATCATTAGTCTACTTTATAACTACTTTCTATCACAAGTAATTTCATACACTTATATAAATCCTACCTCTTTTGGTAAGTCAGAAATCTGCATGCCTTAATTTTCCTTTGTAAATGCTATCTGAAATTGCTCTCAAAGTAGGCCTATAAACAAATGTAGTATAAAGTAATGCTTAAAACCAAACCTTTTCTAAGTTTTTGTTAAAGCAAGCAGAACAAGATATACTTAATAGTACTGTTGTTACTTTAGTAATATCCACTAACAAGAAAACATATTCCAGAAACTAAGAATCATATTGAAGCCTTCCTCTAAAGCATTTCCAGAGTTCCCTTTCCTAATATAAAGGCATAGCATAATGTACAAATATTTTTAAAAACCTGATACTAGCATAAAATCTTCATAGCATGTGTAGTTTTCCCCTTAGGGAGAAGTTGAGACAAAGATAAACCTTCAAAGACATTTGTCTTTTATGTTTTATATTGCACAGTCTCAATATTGTTCCGACCATGGCTTAAACCAGTCCTACTCCCTACTCCTTTCCCACATGGGATGGGTTAGGACTAATGTGAGCAGGGCCCCCCGGCCCTACTCTGCCCTGTGCTGCTTCTGAGCTGTGCCTCTGCAGCGTTCATGGAACGGGAAAAGTATGTCAGAGAACTGAGCTGCTCAAAAGTAAATTCCACTCAGCTCACAGGGACAGTTGAGAAGGGTAAAGTTTGCTATATGTTTCAAACAGTTGTGATGTTAGAACTGCAAGCCAGGTCAAACTTTTAATTGTAAATGTATTACCTGCTGATACAGCATCGGTAGTTGTCTAAGTAAATTCTTCCTCTTTCGTAAGCAATAGGAGATGCAGAATGCGTCGTCCAAACATTCTTGAATTTAGTACTTTCCTGAAACAGACAGAGGCTATAACTGTGATGGACTTGTGAAAAAATTGCATTTGGAAAATCCTTGCTCCTGCAGCTTGATAACTGAGTTTAATGGAACTGGCAAGTTTCGTGTAAAAATATTAAATCAAGGACAAAATCCCCCATTGTGTAAATACGCACATAGCATTCCTTTATGCATAAGTAATTGAATTTACTGAGCATTGCTTCCACTTTACTCTTGGTGCCTGGTATGAAAGGTAGAAAAGCTGTCTGTACAGTTGTTTGCAACATCAGCCGGAAGCAGCACATCCTCACATGGATGGTTAAAGGTGCCTATTGCAGCAGTAATCGTTCTTAAATGAAACGCATTTAGTCTGCAACTGGCGTAATTTCTCTATTTCTGCAACAGAAATGTCACTGACACGTTAAGGGCATGTTTGTTTACCTGCAGGCCTCTGCTGGTTTTCTTATTTTGCTTTGAGAGCTCCCCCAAAACGTTACCGAATTAATATTAGCCATCTTAAGGGATGGAAGAAGCAATATAAGATCTCGTAAGACGCAATTTCTAACGTGATCGTGAGATTTACAAGCGCTTCTGCTGTTACTTCACCACAGTACTCCGCAGGTTTCTGAGTCTCCCTAACACAGATACCCGTTTCTACCTCTCGGCTGCACTGCTATTCCGTCCCAGACTTTTGCCAACGCGACCCGGCGACTTCCGAAACGCGCGTCCCGCCCGCGCCGCCCTCACCTGGCAGAGGATGGTTCTCAGAAGCCCCATGTTCTTCCGGAGGGCCACGCCGGCGTCCCGGGCGTAAAACCCGCGGGCCCTGCGGCCGAGCAGGCGGCACACGTTGGGCGCCCGCGGCGCGGCCCTCCCGGCTACGGCGGGGCACATCCTAGGCGCCCGGGCGGCCCCGCCGCTCGCCCGGAGCCCCGAGCCGCACGGAGAGGCCGCCGACGTCACGGGCCCGCGGCCGCCTCGGCCCGCCCGGCGCCGGGGGACGCGGAGCGGGGAAAGGCCGGAGCAGCCCCTCCGGGCCGGGGAGCGCACGCCGGAACCACCCGGCCGGCGCGGGGAGCGGAGGGCCCGGAGCGCGTCGCCATTCGCGGCGTGGCGCGTTACCCGGCACGCCGCCGCCCGCCCCGCGGCCCGCCGGGTACTGTAGTTCTAAGGGGCGGAATTCGGCGGCGCGCCCGCGGGGCCGGGGCTGCCCGCGGGGGCTCGTCGGGAGAGGCTTCGGGGCTCCGAGTCCGCCGGCCGCTGCCGCTGTGACCTCCGGGCGCCGCCGCACTGAGGGACGAAGTGAGTGCAAGCGCACGAGCGCGCGGAGGTGCAAAGGAAAGAATTCCACTCGAGATTCCGGCTGTAAAAGGCAGGAGAGTTTTGTGGGAGATCCTTGAGTCCAAAGAAGAAATGCAGCCGAAGCTCAGATCTGCTCAGGTTCTGTCTGTGGGTGCTGGGGGCGCGGGTCGAGCAGGGCTGTGCTGCAGGGCGTGCGGCGGCACCGAGCCGAGTGAGCGGGCAGCCAGTGTCCTGCTGTGCATGGGAGTGGAGGAGGGTGTTGAAAACTCTGTATTTCCGGGCTCTGCAACACCTCCCTGAGTTTTGTGATACTTATTTCTTTAGGGCTGCTTCTAAAAGTCGTCACCGTCATCAACAGCGTTTGCCAGAAGAGAAATTGGACTTCTGGAGACAAGCTTGTGTTCTTTCCTCCAAAGGCCCAAATGGGGTAATGTGCAAGCTGTTGGTCTTTGTGTTTCTGTGTCTGTTCTCCAGGATCCCTGAGTGGGACCAGGTGCCTTTGCTGGTACTGTAACAGCTATGCAAGTGCAGTGCTGTCGTGCTGTGGTGCATCACCAGTGTTTAGGTGCAGCAAGAGAAGGTGCAGGTGGGGCAGTTGTGGTTGCCCCACTGGTGCTCAAGTGGTTCTGCACACTGGTGGTCACCTCAGGGTGATGCAGACATCCAGGATCTTGCAGAGATGTAATTTAATGGGGGTGGTCAGTGTAAGTTACGGATCAGTGAAATCCTCATTACCGTTTCTGTTCTCAGCAGCATCTTTAATAGTAGGAAAATGATGTGTTTTGGGTTGAGACAAATGATCTTTGGTTTGCTGATAAAGTTATGCATTCGGCATTTCACAGAAAGTAGGGTAGAAAAACAACTGTAGTAATTGAAAGAAGTACTTGTACTTACATGCATAATAAGGATATAAACATGCATTTTCTTTTTCACTTACCTAAGCGCCAGCCAGCAGAGGGTGCACAGGTTAACCGGGAAGTCTTAGTTCTGAGCTGTGTTTGTCACTGATGGCTTCCTCTTGATAGTAACCTTGCAAGTAGATGAGTT